CCAGGAGCCAGGAGATCTGAGTCCGAGTCCCAGCTCTGCGGCAGACCTGTGATGTGATGAGGAGCAATTCCCTCCCAGTTTCCAGGCCCTGGCATCTTTGCCTGTAAAATGGTGAGTTACACCACCTGCTGCAGAGGGGCTTTGTGAGGCAGAATTAATTGAAGTTTAAGTCCCATAGAATGGCACTATAAAAGCACAAAGCATATTATCTATTTCTGTGGTTCCATGTGGTGAGACTAATCAGTCCCAGGTCTTGTGGCAGGGTTTTAAAGAAACATTAGTGGATTTAAAAAAAAAAAAAAAACTACACCTTCTGTTGCATGTGGGACTGCTCTTTAGGGTTTCTGTCTAGTCCTGTTGAAGTCACAAGAAAGATTTTTTTTTTTTTCTGACTCCAACAGGACTTGATTAAGGTGGTTCTCAATCATCCGAGATGGCAGATGAACATTCTCAGAGGTGTGGAACATGCTTTCTAGTCCTAGACACATTTTTAAGTTGCCTCAGGTAGGTACAGAACCTAATAATACAGGCATACACAGACAAGGTGGGCATGTGGGTCAGCAACTGCTTTGGAAAGAGCTTGAGAGATGCGAGCCCTCGCTGACTTCGGCCTCACCCTTTCTCCCTGTCCCTCGCCAGCCCTCTGCACGGGAGGTTGTTCGGCCGTCCCTCAACCGGGTCACGGATTGCATGAGCGCTCCCGGTTTGTTTTCCCACACGGTCAGTGTTGCTGAAAAATAGTTGAGATAACACAGCTGCCCTTGTGCTAAAGTGAAAAAGGGGCACTGAAATGATTCATCAACCCAGCTCCTCGACATGATGGGAAGTCCCAGTAGGAGGAGCAGTAACTGTTAAAATAGCTCCCTCTAAATCCTGAAAGAGGGAGTTCCGTTTAAGGTGGCATTTTGGAGACCTCGGCAACTGTGTCAGTCTGTAGATCGAAAGCTCAACTATATGTCAGAGACAATAGGAAAAAAAAGGATAAGTCTGTAGTTATATCTTAATTAATTTTATGACTATGCATTAAGTTGATCAGGTTTTCTATAGCAATGCCAGAATTTTTAGTGATAGTCATTCAAAAGTATTTAGGTTTTCCCCTGGCGCCCCTAGATGTTGATCTATGAGATGACTGGGCCATGCTCTCTCTGCTTGCCTGGAATAAGAGTTATCTGCTAAACTCATGGCTAATGCTGTCCTTAGCAAGGAACAAAGGCCAGCTAAGAAACATGAAAATGAGGTAATTTTTTTAAATTCTGTTTCTTATTTTTTGATATATGTATAGGTTAAGGCCAAAACCTGGCTAAAGGTTCTAATTTAAAAAAAATAATAAAACCTTTCTGCAATTCTCCTATTACCCCTAAATCAGCTTCATTTAGTGCTAAACCTTCCCTCCTCTTTGCTCCCCCCCAAGTCATTTTTATCCTAATGCTGCAATAAATATTAATGCCTTTCCCAGATGCAACCACTTAAAATATATATATGTGTATATAACGACCTACCAAATACTTCATGCAGATGCCCAGTTGCAGCTAAAATTTGACTGGAGAAACTCTGAAAGGAGGAAGAAAGACGTGGTTCAACTAGGGGAAAGATAAAAATTCTTGTGTGTGCATCTAAATAAAACTAGAGCTAAATCCGGGGTGATGGGAGGGAAAAGTGTCTTAAGGCAGCATATCCAGTAAGCTCCAAAGGAACTACAGATGTCTTAGCACAGTCAATACGTATGAATACTGCCACAATGCTTAAGTACTAAAAACCAAACCCAGCACTGTCAAAGTGAGGTGAAGAATTACTGATGCCCATTTTGTGATATCTTAAAGGTACACAATTTTCAGCAGCTGAGGTGCTCAGCAATTCCAGAAAGTCGAGCACATTTAAGTTGTCTCAAGTGGGACTCCCAGAATTGCTGTTGGTTAAATATCCTGGCTAAATACCCTAAAGCACAGCGTGTTTGCATGCTGAATGCTGTTTATTGCAAAGCAGTCGGCGAGCGATGAGAATGCTCTGCGTCTTGTAGGAGGCAGACAGCTCGGAAAGGAGAGTTTGGGGTTTTGTGTATTTTTAATGGACAATATACCCTTTGGTATGAATCGGCATCCAGATCTAATTTAAATCCAAGTTAATTTTCACATGTGCTGCTGATTTACATTTGCTGGGGATCTGAACCCCAATTTTCTGGAGACATTTAGCAGAAAATATGAATTTTGTTCATTGCCGTGCAGCATTGCAGAGTTCAGTCACGGGTGCTGTTAAACATACATTTAGAATTTTTGCCTTTCTCTATCTGCCTTTTAGGGGTTTGTGTAGCATACAGTACCGCAGTATCTTAGCTCTTCCCAAAGTCAGTTCAGCTGACGCAGCGAATTCTCTTACAGACACTTTTTGTTGCTTTGGTTTTCTTCGTTCTTTAGTTTGTGTTGATCATTTTTCTCATCTAGATGAATAGGAATGCAGGCATTAAAAAAATTAAAAAGGAGACTGGACATTTTCCTGGTTAATTTGATCTTTTATTTTCACTTGAAAGTAACAGCTTCTTGTGGATTTTTGTTTGCGATTATCCTCCAGAATAAGCAGTTAGCCAGAGGCTCACTGATTTTCATGTAAAAGTTACTTGCCTTGGTTTCATTATATAGTTTGGTTCCGTTCTGCAGTTTTTCCTTCCGTAGGTAAATCTCAGTAACATAAGCTGTTTACATGTCTGCAAATATTGTTTTATATCTGTAAGAAGAGGGCAGGATAAAAAGGAATGTTTGTGAGTAACATTGCTGGCTTAAATTCTCCTGTGGACCTTTGAGTGTATGGCATGAATAGTACTTTTCCTTCTTAAAATATTCTTACAGATAGAATCTTGCTTACCAAATCATCCAAATAAGAGGTCACAGGTTTTAGCATGAGGAGTCAATAAGACTTATTTGCTAGACTGTATTCACTCAGTGCTGCTCCTGAGGCATGAAGTTCTGTAGGATTTTTGGTTCGGAATACGAGGAGGTGACCAGGGCTCTGTTCCCAAAAGTTGCCCTCGGACAGCCGAGCACCGACACCCGAATGCCAGCACGGAGGGAGAGCGCAGCAGGACGCTGTGCTTTCACCCCGATCTCTGCCACAGGAAGACCCAGTGAGCTCATTTACTCATAAATGAGAAGGAACGATGGAGATAAAAATAAGTCTGCAAAATGCACACACAGGGAAAATAAAGATTTTAGATATTTCTAAAATGTTTGTGAGAGATTTAAGGAAAAGAAGGAATATTTTAATTTAAAAAGCTCACTGGAAGGAGTGGTGGCAGTCATTTTATATGGTGCTGTCTGGGTCTTTTTCGTGGGTTCAATTGTCGTGAGGTTTTTGAAGGGTTTTGTTTGTTCAAGCAACATATAAATGGATCAGATCCTTCAATATTTCTTTGTATGTTTGGGGTAGATGAAGAGAAATACCACGATGTAAGTGGTGCAAAGAAAGTAGCAATAACAAGGGAGAGTGGATTTCTGCTTTATTGTCTTGTGTTAGGACTATTTTGGTGGTTGTTGTTGGTAAACCCTAGGAAATATACATCTTTCTCCTTTAAAGTTCTAATTCAAGGCATGAATGTGTGAGTTCTGAAGGGACTTAGGGACTGCGGTAAAAAATCGTTGTCATAGTAACAGAAAGGGAAATAGGCCTGGCTCACCTGGGACTTTAACTTACTGCAAAAGCAGATTTTTTTTTTTTTTTTTTTTTAAGGAAAGCACTCAGCAAGAGAAATAAATAAATAAATAAATTGTTCTTTGTATTCCAAATCAATCCTTCAACTATTTATTCTTTCTTATATCCAAGTCTTTTTCCTTCTAAATCTATCTTAAAGTATTTTTTATTTTATTTTAATTGTTGTAGTTAAACCCATTTTGCCCAACAAATAGAAAAGAATCACAGAAAATATTTTCACTTGCAATAGAGGATGCCAAAAAAAATTTCTTGCCTGTTACATCCTAATTTTGAAGGCACGCTTGTTTTGTTTTTAATCCAGCAAGTATGATTTTTCATGTAGTTTCTTTACCTCTAAAATTCACAAATTTAATCAGATTAATCAGATAACAAAGGGATGAATCCTCTCCTCCCTTGATTTGACACAAAATTTTGTAGAAAAGCTCATTGAAAAATGCCTGCCTAATATTTCTAAACTGTAAAATCTATATGCTCTAGTGCATAGTGTTGGGTAAGCCAATCAAGCATGCTGAAGATTCAACTTGTGTACATGACAAGCTAAACTCTACAGAATAATAACAGAGAAAGATAGGCGTATGTGACAGGGCAAAAATAATTGGCATGAGAACTTTGTACAATGTTAATAGGTTTATCTGCTTGGACAGCATGAGCTGTCATGTATTACTTCAGGTTGTGTTTTTGTTATCTTCTCTTAAAATCTATGTAAGATTATAATCTGGGCTCTTGGCAGTTCTGCTTCTCTGCTTTAGTTACTGAGACCTTAATAACTAAAAACATTGTCATGATGAAATCGCATCAGCTTCTTCTGTGAGCTGTATTTCTTTCTGGTTTTAAATACATTCTAAGTAGTTTCAAGGCTTATCTTCTTCGGAGTTGCCCTGTTGGTTTTTGTAGTTTTTACAATAGCATTATCCTTCTGTATTGTTTCATGGAAAATCCCTTCAGACAGTGAAAGGAAGACCGTGTATGCAAGGGAGAGATAAAGAGACTAAAATCGTGTGGTCAAGCATGCAGTGGGGAAAGGGGCGTAACTCGGAGTAGATCTCTTGACTCATGCCAGCCAGCAGCCCCGCGCAGAGCGCGTTACAGTCACATTGGTTGTACTTTACCTGATTGTTTTAAACTTTTGTTTGATAGGGTTTGGTTTTGTTTGTTCTGTTTCTGTTTTGGTAAATTCTTACAGTCCTGGTCTACTGATTACACCATCATGTAAATCACTAAAATGTGTGCGTTAAAATGGACTACAATAGCATGTGTTTTGTTATGGTTAATAGAAGTGATGTGGTTCTTTATCTTTTCAGATTCTTCTTAAAATTTTTTCTCAAGTGCAATCAGAATTGCTTGAAAACAGCAGGAAACCCAAGAGATATGAGACGGTTCCAGGTAAGTCTTATAAGGCTAGCATTAACCTGGCTGCTTTTTTTCTTCTTTTTCTTTTCCCTCTCCCCTCTCCTACATTGTTCATAATAAATATGATGACAGTATATGATAAGCCATATCAGATATTGTTAAAGTTTTTCTCCATTTGTTGTGTTTAAGCCTTTATTTTCCCCCTTTTTTCCTCTTTTTTTCCACTCTGAATCCCCAAGGGGAAGTGATGTACTGTACCAACCAGCAGTGGATATTTGATTTGACACCCTCGGGCAAAGCACTTGCACATACAGCTGCCCACAGCAGGGATCATGTTTGTGATACTTAGATGCCTCAGAATTTTTCAAAGTAGCTCTGTACGTGGTACACAAGCAGTCTCCTCATTCTCCCTCCACTCCCGATCTCTTTCCATCTCTTTTACTGTTTTAACACTCTCATGCCCTCCCTTTCACTCCTTTAAAAAAAGCAGGTAAAATAGTGATGGTCACTTTAAGATCTCACGCAGCAAAGCAACAAGACCCATGGGACAGTGACCCAGCTGCTTTGCAGTGAAATCTGCCACTGGTTTCATCATAGCTGTCGCTGATGTATTGTGAATACCGGCTAATAAAAACACAGAAGGAGGTGAAGTGTGTCAGTGGTGAAGAGCAAGGCAGACACAGTCTCCCATCTTTCATACCTTAACCTTTTAAGCAACTATGATAAATATTTTACCTGTAACTTCACCCTCGCAAAAATGCGAACGGAAGGCTCGAGCCTTCTCCATCCCGGCTGCACTGTCACGCCTCTGTGCAGTGTGAGAGGTGGCAGGGCAGAGAACGCGGTGGGGAGGTGGTGCCAGAGCCGACTCTCACGCAGCTGATGAGGCAGCACGGCCTGGCGAGGGGGATACGGGGTTGCACGTCAGATGGTTGGGCTGTACCACTCATTCACTGGGTGGCCTCCGATGAGCCATTTTTGCTTTCTTCTAGTCTGTATTTCCACCTCTTTAAATGGTAAAACTTGGCGGTCTTGATTCAGGAGAGCGTTTGAGAAAGTGCGTGTGTGCGTTGCCAGCCAGAGCCCTTGAAATCTAGTGATGAAAATCAGGACTATCCGTGTAAATGCTGTCACTGCTCGTTGTCATTATGATGGTACCTTCACTCTGTCACATCCCTGGTGCAAAGAGGATTTCAGCTTATTGAGGGATGTGTGATTTTCCTGTAGACCCACAAGACTTGCAGTGGCAAGGTGACATCCTTAGGTTTGGCCATCCATGTTTCATTGCTTGGGCACTTGCATCAGTTTCCTTGTTTATAAATGAAGTTAAAACTCCACAGGAATTTACACAGTTGTTTAAAACTTTCTACCAAAACATGTTTTCACAGACAAGTGATTTTTTTTTTTTTTTTGACTTTCAATTAAAAATTCACAGGAGGTATATTTCTATCCGGAAAACCCAATGGAGTTCAACTTTGGAGATAAATATTGCAAAATGAAAGCCTCTGAAAGCTCCAAAATATTTAAAGAAATGTAGGCAAAAAAACACTTATTCATTTTTTGTTTTGAGCAGAAATTAATTTAAAGAAAAATTACTGACCAATTTAGTTTTTTCACTAGTAGTTTAAAGAGACTGCAGGGACTTCTTCATTCTGTGTCTTTAGAGAAGATAGGACAGGATAAAAAAACAGGGTCTTGTTGTTAGGAAATTTATACTGATTCTTTGTTTCCAATGGCAATTTCCATAAAGAAAAAACACCTATTAAATATCATCTGCCAAGAATGTGAAGAAATTTGTGAGTAAAGGAAAACTCAATTTATAGCATGTAAACAGATCTTCTTAGCTCTTAGAGCCAGCTAGAATAGCTGATTGTGGAATGTAATGAAACATAAACAGAGTCTTTTTTTTTTTTTTTTTTTTGTTATGAATTTGTGAAAGGGCTTGCACAAGGGTGTCCTGATTAGCATCGGGGGATTCTAGGCTCTGCCATATTACAAATAATCTTGGTTGTTACAGCCAAAATATAAATTCTGGATCCAACCACACCTGAACACTAAAGAAATTCAGATCTGATTTCAATCTCATGCTAGCTGCCCCCTTGCTATGGCACGTGAAACTAAAATCCTAGATTTCGATCAGGTGCTGAACTGCAGGGGGATTATGGGTCTAATTATTTTGGCAGAAATCTATCTCCATTATCAGCCTTATTGTTTCACCTCTCTGCCTCCACACCCCAAATGGTGATGTTACAGAGCCTAAACAGCTTCAAATTCCCAGTGAAACAGTGAACAGGGAAACTGAACTGAGTCGTACGGCACCCGCATGGTTCCTGACGGAACACCTCCGTTCCTTCAGCCCGCCCCCCTGGCACGCCTCTTGTATTTGAGAAAGTATGGCCTGGCTTTTGATCTTAGTACCAAAATCAGCAGTTTATTGGAGAAGAAAATGAGCTGGGATAGACTCTTCATCTGGATTTTCTGCCTTACAACACGCCAAGCCGGAAGAATAGAGCCAAGTGAAACTCTGGTTCTGTTTTGCAGGGCTTACTTAAGCTCCTTTTGTACTTTCAGTCCATGTGAGTTCATACCCTTTGAGTTTCATTGTGAGATTTAAGTTCTAACCCCCAAATTAATCAAGATCAGGCAAAACCGCTAGGTTTAGCTTACTTTTTGTCGAAACCAAAAATGTTGACAAGACTTTTTTTCAGAGTTACAAAAACCCTTTGAGACAAATTGCAAAATGCTTGAGGTTTTGAGTGAAAGCAGGATCTTCATTCAGGCTTGTTCAAAACTGGACGCATCGGTTGATGAGCTTTGTTCTGGGCTACAGAGGTCAGTATGTATAAAAAACGATAGAAAAAGTAGTTCAGTTGCTAAATTTTTACACATTGGGAGTAAAAAAAGCTCTGTGTTCCAAAGGAAATTAGCCATGATGAACTGTAAAAACAATAAGCAAAGACAGCTTGTTTTCTGTCTGCCTCGTTGTTTCTAAGGATAGAAGCATGACTTCCCTGAATGTAACGAAAGTTAAGACTGTTCTTCAGTGCTCCACTGTCTCTGTCTTCTGGATCCTCCTTTTTTTTTGGTTGATTTTTTTATTTTTTGGTGGGGGGGCGTGGGATATGAGTGTTGTTTATTTTTTTGGTTTTCAGTTTGGGCAAACTCTTTCTTGCTTGCTGCTTGTTGAACATGGTCTGTCAGATACCCTTAAAGTCAGAAGAGGAAAAAAGAGATAGATTACTTCAAATATTAGTGGTGTGCTTGCATACTGTGAACATGTTCGTTTTAATTTTAATTGTTAATATTTACATCAGGCAAAGTAATTAACGTGGAGAATTGTTTATGAGGTTTGAAAGGACAGTTGTTCATCCTACCAGTACAGGAACATGTGAACATAGTAAGAGCAGGGTCAAAAAGCACAATGCAGTAAAGTACTTGATTCATTTTACAATTTAATTCATTATGTTTTATTCTAAGACCTTTATTATTTTTTTCTAATAAATTATTTGTACAGCTGTTGTTATTAAGGCCCTCCTCTTTCAAACATTTCCACACATTTAACTTTCCTTATGCAAACAGTCTTCTGCAGTGATGCTCAGTTGACTATCTCTTAATTTGTACCTATGTTTTTCTGCAGAACTAAATATATTCATTTTCGAAGCAGTAGTGCTTGTCAGATCTCCAGGAGACATTAAGATACTCTTTTTTACGGTTATTAAAAACACAAAACAAAACAAAACAAAATAACCAAAAAACAGAAGAGAGAATCCTTATATCAAAGTTCTCACTGAAGTTGCTACTGAAACCTGGAACTGAAAGGGTCTCATAAAAAAACAGTTTTGCTCTTTAATGGAGATTGAATGAAAGCCCGAAACTCAGGCTTTGTTGTTGAGACACAAATATAAATAAGAGGCATGGAAATAGTGCTGTACAATGCACCTTACCGAGTTCTTCCAGCATGGAAGAATGGTTACTCATGCCTGGAAAAGTGTCAAGTTAATGCTTCTGATTAGAGATGGGTGTGAAGCTACACAGTTTGGGCTTGGCTTGGCGGCTAACCAAAGTTCCAGGGCGTTGGGATCCAGTCTCTGAGCCTGGCCTCAGCCTCACTTCTAGATATAAGATCTAGATATTTTATAGTACAATTATGATCTATTAAACTAAATTAAATGTTAGATTTCACTTATATCACACTAATTTAAAAAAAGGGCGGTGGGGAGAAAAAGGGATGGAAAGGTTACAGTAACACTGCATTGTAAATTTAATACAGCTCCAGATGCCTGAAGAGGTGGGGATTTTTTAGTGTAATTCTTCAGTTTGGAGAGCAACAGCAGCTGCTTTGTGATCATATTAACTATTTGAAATTTGCTTTGATATTAAGTAGAGCTTCAAAGATACAATGAAAATCTCTTTTTTTTTTTTTAATTAAACACAAAGGCTTTCTTCTGTGGAAAAAAAATGTTATAACTCAGAGTTAAAGGATGAGTGATCATTATTATTTTTTTTTTTTCCCCAGTAGTAACATAATTTTATTGTGAATCACTGCCTACTTCAACGTCTGTCAGTGGCCAAAGCAGGGGAAGGGAATCTTTTTAGAACCAATGGATATTTTCATGGTTACTTGATCGCTGCCCAGATACGTATGCAGATCAAGTAATATGTCCTTGTGAATTTAACTGAAACAAATGTTGATTCTTTATCAATTAAAATACTTCTGAATAAAGATTGTCAGTGGAAAACCAAAGAGCATGCTAAAATCACCTATACAAACCATAGCACTGACTATTTGAGTTCAGCTAATCTCCAACTCTGAGTTTACGTAGGTATTGTCATTACTGTCATTGCTGTATTCTCAGGGAGTGATTCTCCCAGGAACAGAATTAAAAAAAAAAAATTATGTCCTCCATTTAATGAGGACTTCTCCTAGAGAACTTGATTGAAGCCCAATGATACTTAATGGTAACGACCAGTGTGTAATGGGGGACAATAATTCTGTGGAATTAAGATGAGGCACTTCAGCTAAAATGCTTCAG